TACCATGGCTGTCTGAAATTAGCCAATGAGGGTCAGATACTTGTACCATGGCTGTCTGAAATTAGCCAATGAGAGACAAGACTACTTGTACCATGGCTGTCTGAAATTAGCCAATGAGAGACAAGACTACTTGTACCATGGCTGTCTGAAATTAGCCAATGAAGGTCAAGAACTTGTCCTATGGCTGTCTGAAATTAGCCAATGAGGGTCAAGATACTTGTACTATGGCTGTCTGAAATTAGCCAATGAAGGTCAAGAACTTGTCCTATGGCTGTCTGAAATTAACCAATGAGGGTCAAGAACTTGTACCATGGCTGTCTGAAAATAGCCAATGAGGGTCAAGATACTTGTACCATGGCTGTCTGAAATTAGCCAATGAAGGTCAAGAACTTGTACCATAGCTGTCTGAAATTAGCCAATGAGAGACAAGATACTTGTACTATGGCTGTCTGAAATTAGCCAATGAAGGTCAAGAACTTGTCCTATGGCTGTCTGAAATTAACCAATGAGGGTCAAGAACTTGTACCATGGCTGTCTGAAAATAGCCAATGAAGGTCAAGAACTTGTCCTATGGCTGTCTGAAATTAACCAATGAGGGTCAAGATACTTGTACCACAGCTGTCTGAAATTAGCCAATGAAGGTCAAGAACTTGTACCATGGCTGTCTGAAAATAGCCAATGAAGGTCAAGAACTTGTACCATGGCTGCGTGAAATTAGCCAATGAGAGACAAGATACTTGTACCATAGCTGTCTGAAAATAGCCAATGAAGGTCAAGAACTTGTACCATAGCTGCGTGAAATTAGCCAATGAGAGACAAGATACTTGTACCATAGCTGTCTGAAAATAGCCAATGAAGGTCAAGAACTTGTACCATAGCTGCGTGAAATTAGCCAATGAGAGATAAGATACTTGTACCATAGCTGTCTGAAAATAGCCAATGAAGGTCAAGAACTTGTACCATGGCTGTCTGAAATTAACCAATGAGGGTCAAGATTACTTGTACCATAGCTGTCTGAAAATAGCCAATGAAGGTCAAGAACTTGTACCATAGCTGCGTGAAATTAGCCAATGAGAGACAAGATACTTGTACCATGGCTGTCTGAAATTAGCCAATGAAGGTCAAGAACTTGTACCATGGCTGTCTGAAATTAACCAATGAGGGTCAAGATTACTTGTACCATAGCTGTCTGAAAATAGCCAATGATGGTCAAGAACTTGTACCATAGCTGTCTGAAATTAGCCAATGAAGGTCAAGAACTTGTACTATGGCTGTCTGAAAATAGCCAATGAGGGTCAAGATACTTGTACCATAGCTGTCTGAAAATAGCCAATGAAGGTCAAGAACTAGTACTATGGCTGTCTGAAATTAACCAATGAGAGACAAGATACTAGTACTATGGCTGTCTGAAATTAGCCAATGAGAGACAAGAACTTGTCCTATGGCTGTCTG